TCATCTGGCAACAGCGCCGTCATGGTAGATATTATCCAGAGGCTCCAGAACCAGGCTTTCTTGCAATTTTGCTAGGTTGGCGACGTCGAACCTCGAACCGAGTATCCGCTCAAGTCCTACCTCCGCGTTTGCTGGCCGCCTTCCACTTTACCTTACCACATATCTTCAATTGCCCTGGCAGCCCAAAACCAAGCTGGTGAGAGGCAGTGGAACCAACGAATCTCTCACCCCGCAGGATCACACGCAAGACAACCGCGCACAACACATGGCAAGCCGTGGTGCAGGATGACATGAACAGGGCTGATTACCCCCATGCTTTGAGACAATCAGAACATCCTTCGCTGATAACTGGACAATCATAGCCGTGTCGGAAACGTACAAGTTTATTCCGACTGCTCGGTTTATCTGACCATCACCAACTCACGCCATGATTATTATGACGAGAAATTCAAATGGCGGCAATACCACGGAGACACTTGTAACATTGCGGTACGTGTCTCTTAGCGGTTGATCCTCTGAGACCAATTAGTCACAACAAGGCTAATCACCCAGTTGCCTAGCGGTCAACCGTGGCGGCGCCTCAGAAGCAGTTTAGGCTTGTCAGAGCTTCTATACATTCTTCCACCAGACTTCTTCAGCCATGTCACACAGACTAGGCGCTGTCTAACTTCAACCGTCTTGGTCCATGCAGTCAATAGCCCTTGCTGGTTCCCCCCACTCGACCCTCTCTCGTGCTGAATTGCGCCCGTCCACTTACATCATTCATGGACTCACAAATTCGGAGACAATTTATCTGCTGTGCAAGCCTGTTTACTTGGCTCACCAGCATCTTCCGTTTGGTCTAGAATTACGATATGTATGATCCTGTCGCAATTTACGGATAGAGCCCGAGAGCATGAAGTCCCAGAGCTTGACCCATGCCTCGGCCGAGAAACCCGAAGGTTTCAAGGACAGTAGGATGAAATGCCGAGTGTGAAATCACAACACATTCTCAGTCCTTACAGTACTCGATAAAGTTTGTGTTACTGCTAAATATTCTCATTACAAATGGCTTCCAAATTTCCAAGATTTCACACTTCAGCGATTCCAAGTAGGTGGTTGCTTGCATGCAAGAGATGGATACTACCCTCGCACTGAGGACAGACAGCCACACCTATGCACGCCGCTCTCGTCATCTGGAACCACTTCAACACCACTACGCACAACGCTGTCTTCAGCCATTTGCAACGGTTGCCATCATCGCACTGTCTAGTAACACGTATCCATGCGAAGCACTTTTCAAAAGGTTCCAGTGCCTAGCTATCAAAGATCGTATGCTCTGCACCGTCGCGTCACACCACCTTGAGATTTGCAATGCCCTGCACTAGTTATCGTGAAGTGCGAAGCATGGCTGTCCACCACATCCGAATGTGCTTCATCATGCATGCATGTGCGCAAATTCGACGAAGCAACCCTCCCTGGATTTCGAAGCTTTAAGCGTCGCAGCCACATTTCTAGAACATCAACATCCCACCGACCCTATCACTCCTTACGTACGTTTATGGTCGTAGTTGGCTCAACCGCGGGGGTTATCAGAAGCCTTGTTTGACGCCTTGGCGGGTTGACAATAGTCCCCTGGTTGGTGGTACGCATCACATCACATAGCAAGCACAGAAGACTGCATAGGCATTCTTTCGGTTAGGCACTCCAACCGTTTCGCCGTTGCTACACAATCACTGCCCTGTGGTCGTTTCTCATGGTTCTGCGATGCAATTTAGCTTATTCATGAATTGCGATCTGTGATCGACTTCAATTCGGCTCTTCTATCTTTAGGGCCTGAGCCAGCTCGGTACTGCTCAAATCCAATCCAACGTTGCTCGCAAGTGTCGGCCGGTCCCGAGAGAGGACCAATCCCAAACATACACTATCAGGAGCCGATAAGGCAGTGATCATCTTGCGCAGGTCAGCTTTAGCGGCTGCATTCGCGGAGAGCTGCAGAGTTTCATCGGTGTCTACAAGAGTACCGATCCTTCGGTCAGGGATTAGGAAAATGTCCACTAAACCGGGATCAACCCGAAGGTTAGGAGCCCGAACACGACAGGGCTTGGGCTCTTACTCCTGGAATACAGGTGTGAAAGGAAGGCTTGAGACACAAGCAAACCAAATAAAGAGTCTCCTAAACGTGATCGTCGTTGATCTCTAAACTCTCGATACAGATGCATGAACCCTTCCAGGCTGATCACAACTCTGTTTATCTTCATTTCAAGAGTTCCTTGCCCAGGGCCCTTGAATGAGAGCTGGTCCCTGCAAATCCAACCCCGACGCTTATCCTAACCCTTGAAAACTCCCAAGGCTGGTTGGAAACAACACTATTAATGGAGAACTTCTTTATTGCAAAACGTCTTGACGCCGGACCTTCCGCTCACCGACAGTGCTAGGCAAAACTCTTATCTTCCTCCGTTGAAAGCCAAGATTCACGGGACTTATCCTTAAAGCCACTATGTGGGCTGTCAGTAACAGCTTGACATGCAATACATACAGAAAGGGTCGGATCATCAAATATACGTTTGCAAATGTTGGCAATGGCTCGTCACCAAGCCCTGCGAGATACCCCTCTTGAAAGCGCGTGGTGGCAACAGTGGCTGCTACAGTAGTGGGAATACTACACAGAATTTTCCTCAGCGGACGACGCGGTAAAGACCAGAGCGATATGGATCATAAAGCTTCAATGGCTGAATGCCGTGACCTGGAGACGACTACCGGCGCCTCTTGTTTTGAAGCAATCAATCAACACACAAGCCAGTCAATCCAATGTATCGACAGGGACGGTGTGCGGGGGCGGCAAGGGTCTACATTGGTAGCCATTCCGAACCAAGCTTGGGCTTGGTTCTAGCCGCATACACTAAACGATAAAATCGTGCGTTAGAAGGACCGAACGATGGTGCATAGAAGCCAAGCTAGGGTCTAAGCCTCGCACTTTGCAAAAAGCCCTCCCCTTCCAGCACTACCAATCTCTCCCAAAGGGACAGGGGAGCGCTTAGAAGCAACAACCACTTACTGACAGCGAGGCATATCCATGCCAATCACGTCTCGGTCATCACGGTCCCTGTCGCCGGCTCATCAACCTTATTCAGTTACGATGCTCTCTTGTCATTGGCTGTTGATGCGATTGATGAGCATCTCGTTTCTCATCGCTGGAAAATTAAGAACCAAGCGCTGCATCACGAAAAACTAGAGCAGTCCAAGGCCCAGGTCGAACTAGGGACCCAAGGCTGTCTCAAGCCTTTGGTCATAGTCGTATCTTATTAAGATACTAGGAACAAGCTATTTTCGGTTCTAATGACCGCCTCAGTATCGTTTTGCGTCTTGGCTCGCATCGAATATCTATTTTTTGATCGGATTCCCACTCACCCGAGTTGTATACTACGCTTTGCCTGAGAGTTGATAGGCATTGAACGCAAAGGAGATTAAGTCAGTAGCTGTGCGAAACCTCGAGGCAACCATCTTTCCAGAAGGCAACCAAGTTGGATATTAGCCCTTATCCTTTATTCGCGCAATCATGGCTGACCCTTGCTGAAAACGATGTTCCTCTTCGCCAATACCCGAGACACAAATGTCCGACAGGAGTTGACGGCGTCCTTCACTTTGCTTCAATTCGAGCCGCTTGCTTGCACACAACCCCTGCCTAAGCGAGTTCCCCCATGTCTCCTTCACGCGGCTATTGAGCTAGGCTCATGAGAAGTCGGTCTGCTCTCCCATCAACCACTAATATGGCCGTGATCTTCCCAAAAATTTTGAGACAATAGGTAATTCCACCATTCTTTTCTCGTCTTTCAGCGACTCATAGATTCTGCTATCGCTTCACAAGGGAGGCAACCGACATTGACGTGTTGGGGTTCATGACCGATTTTGCCACAAGCCTGAGATGAGGTTGAATGCTACGTTGCTGGTAAGGTAATGGTGGGCGAATCAAGATTAGCCCTGAATAATACCAGGACCCGACTACTCCGCGAACCACTGCTAGTTTAGATTAGGCCATTCACGTTGGCTTGGTTTATTATGGTGTGGCAGGACGTCTGTCGGTTATGATCGGCCCCCTTGACTCAGGTACGCATCATGGCTGCTCATGGTCAGGTTTGTGGTTCCGATGTCTTTAGGTATCATGATATCAAAGTCTAGCAGGTTGGGCTGCCATTGATCGATTGAACCTGTTTGGAGTTTGGACAAACGGGACTAGGGTTCAAAAGCAAATCTCACATCCTAGTTTATCGTGAGCCGAGGCTCCCCTGGCCATCTGCCTGAACGGTTTAGGGCCCGAAGAGTTCATGACAACGGTTTTGATCGACATTCAGAAACCCCAAAGCCCTGCAACAACAAGTCCCTGAAATCTCTCATGAAAGGGTGCTGGAAGTATCGTCTCCACGTCCCCAGATTTCCCCGCAAACTGAGCGGACAGCTACCGATGCGAGTTTTGATGTCGGCTTCGTTCAATTTCGTCTTCACGTGCTATATACTTTGTTATCACGTAATAGTATTGCTGTTTTGACTAAAAGTCGGACCAGGGGCATTCCCAACACGTCTAGCCAAGTTCTTTGGCAGCCACCCTTGATCTCCAACAGCCCCGACAAGAAGATGGAGAACCTTACCGACCCCGCGTCTCTTGGTGTTGGTGTGTCATGAGATTGCCAACGCGGGGATGGCCAGGTACCCTCATGCACATAACCTCTCTTTAAGTTTCGGCTCCCGATGAACAACTTGGGCTGTTTGTCTCGGAGTCTCACCGTCACTGACTTGGCTCGTGCGGCTTCAACAGTCGATTCTCCTCAGGTCCCTTGTGCCGAGTATGGAAAATCGTCAAGCCGCAAAGGGCCGAGCCCTTAATAGCATGATGGTGGTTCATAGATCAGCCACACCACTCCTTTAATGCAGGACTTGGACGTTTGTAGAAGGCAATTTACGAGATCCAAAGGAGTTGAAGTCACCGCCAGCACATTTCCAAGTCCACGCATGCCCTGGTAGCCATGGAACCTCGTGGACATGAAAGCGTTGGCGTGCTGCGTGGTATGGCTCTCCGCTCTCATAGTGCAAAAGTTCCACTTGATTCACATAGACGACGGGTTGAGATGGGTCTCGTGCGCGAACAATGCTCCGGAAATCATGAGAAGGCTGATAAAGATATCCTGCCTGTAGCTTGGCTCTTTGAGTTCTACGTCGACCGTCCAAATACGGTATGCATTCCTCCAGACAAAGCGGGACGGTCATCACCATAAGAATGCTCCCCATTCGTCCCCCGCATTCCCCAGACTTTCGGTGATGGGCTTGAGATGGTCTGGAGGGGCGGAGCAATTCTAATAACGGACGAAGCAACTTCTCTCCACACGACACGAGAGATGGGTACATAGTTTTTGCAGCGCAGTGCCACATAGCAGGTCACCATACTTTCGAACGACGTGCATCGCGTTAATATCGCCGAAATCTGTCCTATCAACACGCTTCAAGACCCTCAGGCAAGCATCGCAACAGGTCTTGCTCGTCAGACAGGTGGATACCTAATTTGCGGTATTCAGCTGGCAACGGCATCCGAAAGCTCACTCCCCTATCTCTTATTCGCCGCTTGTACGTAATTCTCAAGCTGCCTTGATACACAAACCGATGAAGGGCCGGTAGCGTTACCCATAAGGCAAAGAGGCTGCAAAATCTCTTTACCTTTGAGTTTTTCAGTCTCAAGCAATTGCAGTTTTACTTCTCGATACGGAACAGTCTCAAAAGCCAAGTGGCTAGTGGGCTTGAGTTTGACGATCTTGAACCTGCATTTATTTGGCTCCCGTCATTTCCCTTACCGCTTGGTGTTGGTGTGCGGCCATTCTGTGTGGGGGAGGGTGGCATTGCAGACTTCTGGAAATCCGGGGAAGGCAACGCAGAAGAAGGGATGGCGGATGCGATGTGGCATGTCGTGGTTATCCAAGGTAAAAGTTTATTCAGTATCTGACACGGAAGGCTTTCCGCCCCTCAGTGCAGGGTATACAGATTGTGGCTTTCGGCCTCTCTCGGTGCGCGGTGGACGATCAGTGATCGACACTCGGTAGGCTGATGGCCAAGTCTGACGGTGGCTTGATCAGGATATCCAATCAATCCAGCGTACAGGCGAGCTCAGAAAGATGACGACAATGATGATGATGTCGTTGTGTGGCAGCTCGAGATAAGCCTTTTCTGATGGAGTGTGTGAACTGCAAAAAATCTAGGGTAGGGAACAGCGACGTCAGGACGGATATCTGAGACGGTAATAATGAGCCTGGCTTTAAGTGGTTTGACGTTTTGGCTAAATCCGGGTGATTTTGGATCGAGATCTATCAACCAATGTGACAGATGAAACCATAGGGCTGCAATGCATATCACCAAACAACAAAGATCTTTGCTTGTTGAGGATATATGATGTTGGTTCGGTTGACCACCACAAACAGATGATATCACAACCATGAGTTTATGGCAATCATCTACAAAGCCCTCGTCCAAAGGATTCTTCACCTGGATAAGTGACGGCAAGACATCAGTTTGTTATCGCGAGCATCGGCATCACCAGATACTGGGATATTCCGGGGCTTGCTCAAGATGGTTTCTGGGCATGGTCTTCATCGAGGTATGGCAGGGTAGTTGCCCTGAAAACATTACCATTTCACTGGACAAAAGATCAACAATTCTACCAACACCTTAGGGTAGCATTCTCCGACAAGCTGTTGGAACAAGGGCAACTAGGCCGCACCGTGTTGATTGGATCTGGACCGTTGATTCAGGCTGAAAGCTTACTCTCATGATCAGATCGCAATGCCGAATTTTCCTATTCGATCTGGCACCAGGCGTAGTCGGGAATCATTCGCCGCGTTTAGATCTCGACCAGCGATGAGGATCATCAGATAGGCCTGTATGACATGGTGGTCACTCTGGCCTTGGCGCCATCTCTTACTGTTGGATATAATATCTTATACGGCTCTTTTGCGGTTGTACAACTTCGGGGATTCCGGTGGTCTAGGCAGCAGATTCCATTATTTTGATAATTTACTCCCATATCGACATCCATTGGCAATAGTAGGCGCTGACACATTCGCGTATCGTAGAACAGAGTATGGGACTCGGAGAAATAAGGTATTGAACACAGGCGTGTAGGACTTGATGTTTGTTAACGTTGCACAGAGAGCTTATGGCGTGGTGATGTTTGTTAACGTCACTCGGTGTTTTGTCTCGAGGGTCTGACAAGTAGACCAGCTTACCTTGCTCTAGACCTTGTCCTGGACCCCCTAGATGATCGAGACTTGAGGGATGCTTTTAGTAGATGTGATGACAACAGCTTTTCCCCCGAGTAAAACGTAATCCTCAGTCAGTCTTCCAACGTAATGGACACTCAGCATGACATATTGAACGGCGCCTTCGTAAATCTGCAGTGGAACCCCAAGGCATGGTGATAGTAGGCTTTGCATTATAGATGTTTGATTCGGGATCTGCTAGCTCTTATTTCCTCCAAGGCATCATTAGACAAAGGTGGCTTAATCTACCCCTAAAGCTCGGAGGCATCCCATGATGTGTACATCAGATTAATATGATGAGCTGAATGATTTAGAATGGGTTAAATTCCCAGACACAGCCTTTCAAGGAACTCCTTAACTGTAAGTTTCTGGACTTATGATGAAAGTGGAGATTAAGTCGTACCATACGAGACTTTGACATTAAAACATCTCCCTGAGACCCGAATCCCTTGTCATAAGGTCAACTCTATTAGAAGTTTGCGACAAAATGCCGTTTCCTTGAGAGGAGCAGAGACAGACAGGCCTGTCCCCCATACGTCAAGGAAACAAGGAACCAAGTGATTACCGAGAACATCGTCTTTTATTTTGGCATAGCTGAGTGTTCAGGCCATCACATGGTATAAGCATATGGCCGAATCTGTTGAAAGATCGTAAACCAAGTTCTTGAAGACTAGGGTTAAGCAAAGGCGAGGTTCTTGGATACTACGATCAAGAGTTGTCCACCCGTTTGTCCGCCAAGGTCCATGAAGAATCCTCAAATCTCAATGCTGTTGTACAAAGCCATTGCTGATAGTTTAGAAGCCCCAACATCAAACCCCGTGAAGGAAATTAAAAGTAGTCTTGGGCAAGAGACCATCTGTATCCTTGAACTAGGGTCAACTCAACATGTCTTATATCTTGTGACGTTCATGGCGAAGCGCTATGCAAAGGCTCAGACTGGTGAACTCCTTTCAGCTGATCGCTGGCCTGCGCATCTTGAAATGATACAAGATATTGCTCCAAGCTCGAGACAGCCCACGACTTTCGTGACCAGATTTATTGATGCCGAGACCTTTAATCGGTGTCTTGTAATCAAGTCTCCTAGGTTCTTTTGGTATAGATGCAATTGATATTGACTTGAACAATGCTTCCTACGACAAGAGAAGTAGGAAAGGACAACGCATGCGGCCTAGGAGAACTGACAACAGATTGTGGTTGGCCATGATACAAGACCCTACAGTAACGGATTTCCAGAAACATCAGAAGGATGATACGACCAAACCATTAACTGAGATAATCTAATCGGGAAAATACCACTGCGGAATTTGTTGGATAATAGGATGTAGTTCAAAGTATTAGTGCCGTTTTTAAACCGTTGCCTACCGGAATTCCGCTCCATCAAGGATTAATGAGCGTACTATTCCACAAAACAGGGATGAATAGGCAGCAGACGAAATAAATGAAATTATTGAGAGACCTAGCTCAATGATAAATGAAATATCATAAAAATATATTCGGTTCCTGAAACAGCTGCCTGGCGATTGTCGCTTGGAGGCTTTGCGGGTTGTGAATCATGCAGGGTAGCTTGGTTTGAGTGAGTGACTTCAGCTTTGGGTTTCGCATTCACCAGTGCACTCATATCCTAAATCATCTCTTAGAGCATGGAGTAATACCTTTATAGCGAATTAAGTTGAATTCTCTAGCTGGAGCTATGTCTAAAGCAAGTCAGAAAATGGGCGCTTGCGGCAACAAGCCACTTTAGATGCACACTCAGACGTAGCACATTAGGTATCACATATCACAACCGCAACAAACAAAATTGTGTACCACATTAATTTCTCTGCCTTGGTCCAGCTCAGCTCAGTCAATTGAATGATCAGTATTCAATAATATTTACGTAGAACGACCCTGTCACGTGTAATAGGGGGTTGCTGGGTCAGAGCGCCACACCAGTGATTGCAGTACAAATCGTTTAGGCACCATCATTCATGAAGAGGTATATCAGGAGAGTATCTCAACGGAGAGATTGATTCTAGTCAATAACACAAAATTCAAAGTTTCTAATCCCCATTGATCTTACGAATCTCGTTGCAACCATGGATCAATTCTTTCTTGATCACGCTCAACGCTATCAGGAGCTGGTGAATCGCTTCAAACCAGCACCTGTCAAATCCAAGACCAGCAATGAAGAATCCAACCCTGATATCACTATTGCTACTCGCCTTAGGCCGATGCTAGATGATGAGAAAGAAGGGGGACAATTGGTTGGCGCCTTTCCTCGAAACAACGCACCTGGCGTGATTGACTTACACGAACTACGGAGACCAGTCAGGGGACCTCCACCTTTGGTGGTGAGTACAAGATCTCTCTTACAAAGCTATAGAAGGGTTACTAACTGAATGGAAGACCACAAACTATCGTGTGGATAGGGTCTTCAACCCCGAAGACACAACCGACGGCATCTACCAAGAGCTCGTCAAACCTCTTGTTCCCTGGGCCTGGGGCGGCGGTGTTAGCACCATGTTCGCCTATGGCCAGACAGGTTCAGGCAAAACATACACTGTCAGTGGCCTCGAACGTCTTATCGCCGAGACACTCTTCTTGGGTGATATCCAAGGCACCCGCAACATCTTCATCTCCATCATCGAACTCGCGGGTAACTCAGCCTCTGACCTCCTCAACGCTCGCAAACCCATCTCAATCCTGGAGGACTCCTTCGGGTCGACTCATCTCGCTGGTGCTTCAGAGTATCACGTTACAGATGCGGATACTTTGATCAAGCACATCAACAATGCGGCATCTTTCCGACGGATTGCTTCTACGCAGAAGAACGACTCTTCGTCCCGCTCCCACGCTATCTGCAAAATTCGCCTCGAGAACCCTGAGCTCCCCCAATCTGACGATGGGCTTCTCTATCTGATTGACCTTGCCGGCTCGGAGGCCGCAAGAGATGTTACTGAGCATTCAGCCCAACGCATCAAAGAATCTCGAGAGATCAATGCTAGTCTTTCTGTGCTCAAGGACTGCATCCGTGGTAGAGCAAGTGTCGACGCTGCAGGGCTCGCCACTGGCAAGAAGGTCTATGTACCATTTCGACAGAGTGCTCTGACCAAAGTCCTCAAACACGTTTTTGATCCTGCTGCTGAGCGCAGCTGCAAAACTGTTGTCGTAGCCTGTGTCAACCCAAGCTTTCTTGATGTCGGCGCAACGAAGAACACGCTGAGATACGGAGAGATGCTGAGAATCACCGTCCCTAAAGCTGCGGCGCCGAAGTATGATGCTTCCAAGCCGAGTACTTGGCCTCAGGATCTGCTCCATGACTGGATTCTCAAGAACGTAAGTTGTTTAATGTCCACTGGCTGCCGATAACCATAACCTGCTAACACTATTTGCAGTCTGGCACCCCGCCCGTTTCACCTACGGCTCTCGCATCGCAAGAGACAGGTATCCAACTCCTTCGACTCCCTGTTCCAGAGTTCATCACACGCTGCCTCAAGACCCCGGGAGTCACGCTTGAACAAGCGACCGCCTTCCAGGCCAAATTCTGGCGTCTTCACATCGATTCACAGCGGGCCTCTAACAACAAGCCAAAGACGGGCCAGAAAGACGCCAAGTCAGAGAAAGAAGAAGCTGGGAAGCAAGGCCTTTCAAGCCAGGACCCAAGACCCGAGATGGCAGATGTTCCATTCAAAGAGCGTCTTCGACCAGGAATGGTGGTTAGCTGGAACCCGTCTGATGACACTTCAGGATTCTATCGCCTTCCTGGACGTAATCTAGTCATGATCCTGAGCCCTGAGGGTGAGGGAACTTTCAGATGCGCTGTCACTATTCCTGCAATCATGCCAGGAGCTTTTGAGATTTACCTCTGGCAGCAGGTTGTCGCCCAGGTTGATACCATGGAAGCGGAGGTCTTGCTCGAGTACGATCCTGGAACTAGGTACTACTATGAAAACGTGTAAGATGAGTAGCTGGAGAAATTGGGGTGAGATCTTGGTATGAGATTGTTTGTTGCTTGGGTGTAAGTGAGCCACGGATGATTGGAGGGTTGTCTATGGTATCACATAAAAGTTGTTGCAGTAGTGATTATACTTCGGAAGTACATAGTAAAATGATTTATCTGTTTGTTGGGTAACCGATTGGTACGTCGAAATTATTTCCGATGTGATGAATGCTGCCAAGCCACAAAGCTTCATGATTATCAGATGTCATGGGCAGAACACTTCAAACTTGGGTTCAGTCCTTATATTAGTTTATGTAGCATTACGCATGAGCCTAAGAGCCCCCATTAAAACTTCATAATCCTTGTGCCGCTGTCTTTCCCCCACAGGGTATCTCATTTTAGATTGAAGGGGTTCAACGTCGACACCTTTTGTCGTTCACTTATCTCAAATTAAGCCTCAGCCTTCTCAGCAAGAGCCTTAAGGATAGGCTCCTCCAGACTCTCGGGCTTAGTGGTGCTAGCCCAGCGTCCCTTGACCTTTCCATCACGTCCAACAAGGAACTTCTCAAAGTTCCACTTAATACGCTTGAGACCCAAAAGACCCGACTGCTGGTCCTTGAGCCAGGCCCAAAGAGGGTTGGTGTTGTCGCCGTTGACCTCAGTCTTCTGCATGATGGGGAAAGACACGCCGTAGTTGATCTGGCAGAACTCCTGGATGTCGTCGTCGGTGCCGGGCTCTTGGCCACCGAACTGGTTGCAGGGGAAGCCGAGAATGACAAAGTCCTCAGGGTACTTCTCCTTGAGCTTGGTCCAGAGCTTCTCAAGACCAGCGTACTGAGGAGTGAAGCCGCACTTGGAGGCTGTGTTGACGATGAGGACGACCTTGCCCTTGTAGTCGGCGAGGGGAACCTCTTGACCGCGCTCTGAAATGTGTCAGTTGGGGATATGAAAGAGAGTTATCATGAAAGTGGTGTGGTCAAGGCGGGGTATGAGAGGGGGAGATACATACTGTCAAGAGGCTTGAAGTCGTAAAAGCTGGTAGCAGAAGCCATGTTTAAAGTTGTACTCGGATGACGAGTATAGTTATGAGTGATATTTCTCTGGTGAGAATTGCTGTGTTTTGTGTTGAGAGGTGAAAATGGCGGGGAACGAAAAGAAGTCGTAGTGGTGGTGGTGTAGTATTTATTAAGCCAGCGGGAACTGGAACTTGATGATGGCCGTAAAGTCAACCAACGAGGAGCAGTAGCACGCCACAGGGACATTAGATAATTAGTGATAGGTACAGGTGCAGTAGAATTGGTAGTAGAGTAGCAGGGGATAAACCTGAAGAAACAATTCAAGTTACACATAAACGGTAATTGATTGCATGGAGACTGCTTCTACACTTCTACAAGCCTCGGCACTTGACTCCATTTTTGGTTTGGTGACGTATTCGGGGTGGAGTGATCGGGGTCTCCAATTCCGCCGGTACCGAATTTACATAGATAGTTGTAGGTATTTGGAATTATCATACTGACATTCATGAATTGTTTTATGTTTCAAGTTTATGTGAGCTGAATTATAACAGTAGGATATATCTGATCAAAAGCGGTTAAAGTGCCCAGCTGAAGACTATCACTCGCTAATCAGAACAAGCTTGACATGCGCTATAGACATAGCTTCAACTGTATAACTTGATATCAGAGCCTCTTCCTTTCACAATCGGTCTTTTTATATAATTCTGCCAATCCCTCTTCTTCTATTTGGAATCAATTGATATCGGTGCAACACTCCGCCGATTTATTTCATAGCTACTCCCCGGCTCGGTAATAGCTCCGGTTCGGATTTCGGAGCTGCCCCACTAAAAACATCCATGGATTCTCACAGGAGCGGCCGCTTTATCTCTTATCGATAAGATCAATCTTGAGTGCATGTGGCGGTGGTGGCGCGGTCTATACGTCACTTACTGTACCCCAACTCTTCCGATTCCCATCTGATCGGACGCCAAAACGTTGATCATGCATGCCCATGACAAGTACCTAGACTACAGCTTGAATCTTGCTTATCAACTCAGTTTTGTTCATTTCAAGTCAGGTTACTCGTGTCCTCTTGGATATGGACGCAAAGAGAAACATCGTCGTCGTTGGTAAGTCACCACGCCACTTACAGTACTCTCTATTATCCTCGTCATATCTCAACAACCTCATCTCATACATCGGACCACATAAGGCTGATAAAAATATCAGGAGGCGGCATCATTGGCTCAACCACGGCCTACTATCTAACACGCCATCCGAAATTCAACCCAGCCTCTCATACTATTACCCTTCTTGAGGCTGCCCCTACTATCGCACAAGGTGCATCAGGCAAAGCTGGCGGTCTTCTCGCCCTCTGGGCTTATCCAGAATGTCTAGTTCCTCTCTCATATCGCTTGCATGCCGAGTTGGCTGCTGAGCATAACGGGCCTCAGAGATGGGGTTACCGCCAACTCGGCTGCGGAAGCTTTGATGCTGTCGTGACGCGCGACAAGATTAAGTCACTCCAAGCTAATGGAAACGGAAATATAAACGGCAATGAGAATGGAAAAGACTGGGAGAAACTACCGAAGCAAAATGGCGCAGCAAAAGAACTCCTAGAAGCAAGTATTTTACCGGAGGATCTTGACTGGGTAGACCATAGCATCATTAACAGCTGGTCTGAGATGGGCGCACCTGGAAAGACAGAAACATCTCAAGTGCATCCCTTACATTTCACAACAGCAATTGCAGAACTCGCTCAGCAAGGGGGCGCTCAAATACACACCCACGCCAAGGTAACAAAGATAAACTCCACAAAGAATGGCGTCGAAAGCATAGAATATCTAGATCGCAACACTGGCGAGACGAAGACCATTGCCAGCGTGACAGATATAGTCGTGGCAGCTGGTCCATGGACCAACAAAGTCTTGCCTCGGGCCAGGATCGAGGGTCTAAGAGCGCACAGCGTTGTCTTCGACGCAAACGTTAGCCCGTATGCTGTCTTTACAGATATTCAGCTCCCTCCGGATTTTATCCCTGTGCATCGTGCTAAGATGGGGCAGAAAAGGAGACATAGGGGCAATGTTGATCCGGAGATTTATGCGCGGCCGTTTAATGAGGCATATGCCTGTGGTAAGTTCACCAAATGAGTGCAAAGGCCAATTCTGACTTTAGCAGGCGAACCAGATACAAATGTCCCGCTACCCGAGACAGCAGATCAAGTAGAATGCGACGAGGCTCAATGCGACGACATAATATCATACATCAGCACTTTCAGTCCCGTTTTGGCCGCCGCGCCCATCAAGGCCAAACAAGCATGTTACCTCCCAAGGCATATTCGCTTTGGACAGGAGAGTGGCCCTTTAATCGGCAGAACGACTGTGCCTGGGCTATTCGTTGCTGCAGGACATACATGCTGGGGAATTCAGAATGGTCCTGGAACGGGCAAGCTCATGTCCGAGTTCGTATTTGACGGAGGAGCGAAGAGCGCGGACGTTGACAAGCTGGATCCTCGGAAGTTCAAGGTTTAACGACTCTTGAGTAGTTGGACAGATATAGACGATTAATGAATAACGTGGACTCGTCTTGGCATGGATTTGGTGTACCATTCTTAATAGCCTCGTGTGAGCAAGATGAAGAGGCGAGTCTGAAAACCAGCGACTCCATTACAAGATGAGATTCAGGCAAGACGTGTTTTTCTCACAAGAAATGTGAAAACTGTTATAAGAGCAGCTGTCTATTTTATTCCCGGTACTGGTTATATCAAGAGGTTGGCACTGAACATACCTTGGTAGGTAGCGTCCCACTTCTCTCTTATCGATAAGACATTGCGATCAAATTTTGGCGGGCATTTTTTGGAACGTCTCAACCGTCTCGAATTATTGACATCTCAACCAACACAACAATTCACATTGACAACCATGGGTCGCGAACTCCAAAAGAAGAAGGCTCGCTCAGGCCGGCAGCCTATCCGTCAACTTAACAGATCCAAGAAGATTCTCAACCCCCGAGGTAACGATGCCATTGCGAAGAACTGGTACGCCCAATCCCTAAGTCACATCCAAAAGCGCAAAGCTGACTCCTCAAAGGAACAAGAAGGAGACTCTTTCTCAGAACTATCGTCGTCTCGGTCTCGTAGCGCGTCTTAAGGCTCCTACCGGTGGAACAGAGAAGAAGCTCGGCGCAACCACAACCCGCGCATACCCCAACGATCCCTTCTCCATCGCCACCATCGAGAACGCCATCGTATCCGAGGCACGTGTCGAGCGCGATGCTGATGGGAAGATTATTCGTATCCTCGGCGAGGCCAAGCCCAACCCGCTTAACGATCCTCTGAACGACCTCGACAACGACAGTGACGCTGAGCCTGCCGAGGAGTGGGGCGGTATTGAGGACGACGCTGATGCGACCGATGTTGTCAAGACCCTTCTGGAGCAGAGCAAACAGCCTGACCTTCCCAAGAAGAGGCATCAGAGTACCCGGGAGAAGGAGTGGTTGGATAAGCTCGTGGCCAAGTATGGCGACGATGCAGTGGCTATGGCCAGGGACCGAAAGTTGAACCCTATGCAGCAGACCGCAGCTGATATCGCCAAGCGAATTCGCAAGATGAACAAGGAGTAGAAGCGGGCTACATGGAAGGAAAACAGGGCTTTGCGTGATCAGTGTGGGATCGCTAAATCATCAAGTATGGAGCATCAAAACTGGCTTAGAACAGAAGGCGTTGGGAGTTGGATTCGAGCATCTTAAAATATAAGACGTCGTGTATGTTTCATTTCACACGGCCAAACTTTTATACTGTCCAAAATACAGGATAACTGCAAACATGAGAGGAATCCAAAATGCCTTATATATATATGTGCGTGCGTGCAATGTCTAAACCATATGCAGCCAAAGGCTTCATCCATCTTCCTTGTCTCTGCGCAAGTCATGATGTTGTTGAACGCCCCTCCTCAATCAGAGGCGTTATTTACCGTACAAAACATGTGAAGCCGCATCCCAGACGCAGGCGTTTCCCAGGCTACTCCACACCCAATCAAAATGAACACCGTTGCATAAAAAGAGACCAATATATCCTTTCTTTCATTTGCGTGCTGCTGCTACTTAGTGCCCCCTATCGTAGTTGCCGGCGGGGAATTGTGCGGGGACATCCTCGTAAGGATGACCACCTGTTGGGTTGGCGTAGCTGGCTGGCATTGATGGAGGAGCACCGCCGGAGTGGTACTCGGTGTCGTTATCGAAGAGGGTGTTGTTTCGAGGGGGAAGGGCACCGAAACGATCGGGATCCTCATCGTCGGCGCTATAGGGATTGGCATCGCCGTAGCGAGAGTGGCTGTTGTAGCTGTTGTTGTTGTAGCTACCACCGTAGGCACTGCCTGAGGGTTCGTGATCGTCCATGTCGACTCGCTCGTAAGCCTCATCGCCGTGAGGGGCCATAGAGAAAGCAGCCTTATCGGGATCGATGTTGTCGCTGCCCATCTGGCGGTTGTCGTAACCTGGCAGGATATTGTGGTTGTTATAGTAGTTGAGGGTGAAGGCGGAAACAAAGGTTGAACCAGCGAAGAGGAGGCTACAGAGGAGGTTAGTTACATATTCAGCTGAGATCAAGTTGAAGCACATACGTTACCAGAACACCACAACCAACAACGCCCTTGCTAATGCTGCAGGCCTTTCCGCATTGACCAGCGGCATTGTAGGCAGCCTGAGTAGCAAAAGCAGATAGCCACATGATTGTGAAAGCAGCGTCAACAGCAAGCATGGCATGCGGTTGAGCGAAGCGACGAGTGCGGCCCCATCGGGGAGTCATGATGAGGAAGATCCATGCTGGGACAGAAAGGAAACACTGCAGATGACGTTAGCTCACCATACACATTGTCAAATAACCGTAGAAATGTTGACATACCACTGCAAATGTCCAGCCATTCCTTCCATTGACCTCTGCGTCCTTTGCATTGAAAACACCAATTTGCAAACACCATGCGACCAGAGATAGAATGATCTGGAAAGAGTGAAGGCCCAGTTTCAGGTTGGGGACGATGTCGGGGTCGATTTCAAACCGCATGTTGGAGGTTGATGTGAAGACTTTCGAGATATGTAGGAAGGAAGATCGGAAGAAGATTCGAGAAAACAATCTGCTCGTAGAAAAAGCCAAAAGTCAAGCTACGAAAGTATGTATGTGTCTTGTTTGTTGGCTTTTTCAGCTGAAATCGCAATGGCTTAGTTCGTCTCAAACCAAGATGAATCGGGTCGTCGTCAATGCCTTTGAATAGATGAACTCGCTGGTATCTATCAGATGAAAATGCAAAAATACAAACAAAGAGCGTTATCGTTATTGAGAATGTATGTATAGAATGGTGTTATTTTGTGTTGACAGAGGGTCAAGTCGTTGGACGTTGGGTCGAGTGTGAATTTAGTTCAATGGTGCTGGCGCTGGTGCTGGTCAACTTGGAAACCGAACCCTGACGAAACAGGTTCCAGTTCTACTCAGGTTCCCTGGCCAGCGGGACCTCCAGCATGACGCCCGCCTAGACTGGGGCAGGCCTAAGCCTCCACTGGCTGGCCACGCGTTGCTAGACGCAACAGCGCTGCAGTGACAGGGCTATCTTGGTGTGGCTGTGTGGCTTCGTCTTTTTCCTCTAATGGAATCAATAACCTGAGTCGTTCGCCAGATTATCGACTAATTAATCGACTATGTCAGCGCTAAATCCAGGGGCTTAATACCTCTAAGACTCGATAAGTCAAAGATGCCTTGTGAAATTTACTGTATGCCCAAGGACTCGCCAAGGCATTACGGATACATACATCAAATCACCATGCCACAGCTGCGCCACTGGAGAAGAATTTAGGGGACCATAGCGAACAGAGTCAACAACCAATTAAACGCACTGGATTCCGAAATCTGCATAGCGGTATCTAAATTTATGCTTCAGCTGAGTGACTGGCCTCGGCAGCTTCATCGTCATTCCGACTTTTATATAATCTTCATCCGAAGCGCTCTACATATGTGGTTACTTTGAGCGATCCGTGTTGCTCTGCTATAAAATCCAACGGTTGCCAACCCACTAACAAACAACATGATCAATCTGCACGAGGACACCAAAAAGGACTGACGCCACGATCATTACGCAGCTTTGTTGACTTTCATGACGTTGCTTATCCGGATGTTGCGGATGCTTCGCTGTTGTGTTGTTGCATTAGGTTGCTCGGCAGATGCATCATGAACACGAGGTGAATGTGACCCTTTATTCATTAGACTCACATGATGAGTAACTAAACATTCACTTGATGATACAATGCAAACCTTGACTCTGATCAAAGTGTCACTGATGGATCATGTTAAAATGTCGCAATTACGCGACAGGAGCCACAGCGGATCCCAACGGGGCCCAAGTCCAACCTAATCTGCCTCTGAAACGGTCACATCAACAAGGGTCTATTACCTCCACCTATCGTTTTCCATTGCTATGTATCGACATGGGAATAGCTTCAGTTTTGGCATTTTTGTAAGATGTCAAAAAATCTTGATCGACCATTGTGAAATGGCTCATCTTGGATAAAGCAATGAAACAAATCAAATGCATGTATCTCATAATAACTGCCATGTCTTCTACTACAGGACTCTGGCTTCGTTTGATGAGTAGTGACTCGAATTAAGCACTGGAAAATGGCAGTCCTTAAGGATCCGCGCAGTAATAATTACTCCGTCTCCAGAGCTCACTCCTCAAATCTGAATTGCAAGGCTATCTTCTCCTTATCTCTATCGGTTGTACTCATCAGTACTGAACCTCTCATATCATTAAGGGGGAATGAATGTATGGCTGACTCCCGAAAACTTCATACTCTCCTCAAGAAAGCTCGCGGCTCAGATCACAGCTTTCCTGATATCTCAGAAGTGATTTTCAGATCTCTGACTATCACTGCAACGTCTCTGTCCCTCAGTTCATCTCGACCACAGGTTTATACCGATGGCGGAACGTTTGAAGATAAAAGAGCAGCCTTGCCATCGGACAAGTTGGCACTGGAGCTCTATCGGATTCAAGTCACCACATGAAAGAAGGCCAGCACAACTTTACCCTGGGTATGGTGTTTTAGTTCGTGTTCTGCCGATTCTCGAGCCCAGTGAAAAGGGTCAGTCCTCATGCGATGCAACGTATATCTCACCAAGAAAAGAGAATATACAAAGAAGCACAGCATCCACACCTATAAAGAGCAGATTCTATTACTTGAAATGACACCATTATCAGAATCTCCATGACAGAAATTGGCTGCCACTGCTGTGAAGGAGCCTCACTTTACCAAAGTTAACAGTCGACATACCTGCAGCATTTGCTCCATGCTCAATAGCAAGGGCATCACTTACTACTCATATGGCCTCCTGATCTTACGGTAAATGAGAGAGTTCTGCGGCTTTCCACGGGAAGCCCCCTTGCTCTCATCATTCCCAAGAAGCTTGACCACAATTGACTAAGGAGGGGTGTTGTTGACAAGACACAAGTTCAGTCAGGAGTGTGTATGCTCCAGTTCCTCCTCGAAC